TTTACATGGGTACCACTCGGGAAGGACTGCCCGTTTTGGGGATGGGGGTCCGCACGTGCATGTAGATTAAGTCCCCAAAGTTTCAGCCCTGTAGCTTTTATAGGTCTCGAGATGAAAAATCGGTACAGAGGCCCTGCGCACATACAGATATAAACACACATACACACACACAGACAACCTCTCGTCAGTATGCGTTTTCCGCATTGCATAGCTGTAAAAAACGCATAAAAAGGTTATACTTGTGATGCTCTTAGCTGGAGAAAGCAGTCTATTCAAGCAGATTATCATCCTTACCCTAAATAGACCAGCAATGAAATAAGGCGCAACTTCAGGCGGCTGGTAACTGCAACGTGGACCAGAAATCTCCCTCCGCTACAGCCAATCTCGCATTTTTCACTACCTTTCTATAACGAGAGAAAGTATCAAGAATAGATCAGGCGCAGGGCAAAATTGAAGCAGACTGTATCACAAATCAGTACTAATTTTGGAATGCATTAAAGATCTGTGGAATAACAAATTCACCAAAACTCAAACAAAGCACACGAAAGTCTCTCAGTTTCCGGATAATTTACGATGTGAAAGAGCGTTGACCTTTGTAAAATATCCGGTACCACAACAAGTCGACAATTTCACTGCGAATAAAAAACACATTCAAATTTAACAAAACATAAAGTGCCCCCACTCTGGCAGATAAAAAAATTCCAAGAACTAACGATTTTTTGTTTCTTCCTCCAGTTTTCGGCGCCTCTGTTCAATCGCCTCTTTGGCGCGCTCCCGCTTTTTTGCTATATGTATCAGGCGTCCTTCGTCTGCTTTCGACATGGTACCCTGGAAAGCAAAAAATTTGACTTTTTTATAAATATTAGTAACACAGTCGCGTGCTTGAGAAGCTGAAACTGTCATTCCTTGATCGAGAACTGCTCCAAAGCCCAGTAACATTCGCGTTCTCACTGATTTTTATGCGTTTTGTGCTGTGTAACAGCAGTACAAAACGCATATTGTTACGGGGTCGTCTGT